TCTCACAGTGGGAATCGAACCCAGGTCTCCCACACCAAAGGCAAGCATCTTATCTATGCCCCATCACCACCAATCCTATCCATTTCTTTGGGTCAAACTCAAAGAAGTCTCAGAATATCTCCACACGGTCCACTGGCTGTCCGTTTTGTGTCTGTGTGTGTGCTGAAAACAAATCTGCGTTTGTACACAACCCAGGCTCTGTAAATGGGAAACAAACAAAGTGGCTCGGGCTGAGCAATACAAAGCTATTCCAGCCATGATTTGTGTGTAAGGTAATGGTAAATGACTTGCCTATGGGCATTCAGCTTACTTTCTGCTTCTTACTTTCTGCTTGTAGTAGCAGAAGAGTTCTCTAGAAACGCATACTTTAAATCCAGCCTGTGCCACAGCCAGAAAAACAACTACATCAGTGGTAAATATGGAAAAAAATGGAAATTCAGGACAATTTTCAGGCTAGCATCTTATGTTTTCTGCAGCTTGAATTAGATTATTATTATTATTATTTCATACCACTATCATCTGTTAAGTGAATTAACATCATAAAAGATCCACAGATGGTTGCTAAATTATCTAATCAGACGGCTAAAGAAATGAGAGCCCTAACATCTTGAGTTGGATAGGAGAGAAAACTATCCAGGTTATTTGGTTATAAACAACATTTTTATAATGATCCAAGGTTTCCACAGGACACATGTGACGTTCTGTTATTGATATTGTTAATCGGGAGTCTGCAAAGTGTTTTTTATTTCGAAAATTGTCTGGCTTCCTGCCCTGTTCATCTGCTGTGTGCAGCTTCATGGTGCTTCCATCAAAAATAGACTTGACGTGTAGTCTCCATGGAGCAGAGCTTCTGGGATGCTTCTGAAACACGCTGTGGCGTATCTGATGGAATCATTAACTTTGTCTACAATGTCCGCAGCTGGAAAGTAGCCTTGCCCTGCAGAATCCCTGCAGAATTTATTCCATCATTTAAACAATAGTCTGCACTACGCTGTCAAAAACAGATAATAGAAGATAGGCCTAGGCACCAACAATATTACAGGTTTAGAAATGTGTATATATAATTAAAATTGAAATCTAAAGTTCCATTTCTAAACTTTGCTTATGTGCTCTCCTTCACTGGCAGTGTGCATCTGGAGGTTCTGTACCAGTCGCAGTACAGGACTTTACTGCACAGTAGCCTGCTATCTTAATAAGACCACGGTTACACACTGAAGAAGAATCGCAGCGCTTATTTGTACAATGGCTTTTTCTTAATAAATCTGGCCCAGAGTGTATTGTGCTGTATAGCAATTCAGTTAATTTCCCCCAAAGCATCTTGAAGCAAGATAATGAGTCTTGTCTGTTTATAATACCTATACCAGTGATTTACCATGAATGAAATAATATTGGTTACTGTTTCGGACGTTAAACACTCATGTATTTTTTGGATTTTGTGAAGCAGCTGTTGGATTGTGCCTGTAGCGAACCTGTTTGATGCTTCCCCTTTCAGTGAAGCAGCTCGTATTTCTGTGCCATACTGCGCACTCTGCCTCTCTCATTTTCTGTATTGCACACTCTCTCGCTGTCTGCATCTGTCTCCCCCTTTTGTATTTTTTCCCTCTCTGTCTCTCTTATTCTCTTATTCTGTTTCTGGCAGTCTCTCTCTCTCTCTCTATCACCTTATCTTTTGCTCTTTTGCCCCCCCCCCCCCCCCCCCCCCCCCCCCAGCTGTTTATTTCCACTTCCTTGCTGCTGTCACCTCTGGTTCGCTACTACTCTATACTGTACTGTACCTTCCGCCTAGGAAAATCAAGACAATTTGAGATGGTAGGGTGGAAAGAAGAAGCAGAGGAAGAGAGGAAGGGTGACGAATATAGGGGAAAGGAGGTGAGAGAAAAACAAGGGAGGATTGTAGCCCACAGTCAGCAGTAGAGTGGCACGGCTTGGCAGAAGGGATGGAGACACTTCTGACTTCTGCCACTCTGAGCCTCAAGCTTGGTGTTTTTTTCCCTCTTTCGTGAGGTAAAACCAGGTGAAAGAGGAATACTGCAGTCCTCAGGGACCTACCATATGTCAGGCAACATCAGGTGCTCGTGGGTACAGCAGCAGGTTAGAGGTCTTCTCTTACAAAAATCCTGCCAAGGAAGCCAAACACATTCCAGTCACGAAATTGGTGGACATGAATTAAGAGGCATAGACACGAGTACCTTTTTGTCCAAATACCCTCAGAGACTGCAGAGTGTGTGAGGTTATATCTGTAGCTGACATGTTGAATGTGTTCTGGCTGGATTTTTATTTCAGCTGCTGCAGACCAACATGATCACATTGATATTTCAATACTACTCTGATATAATGGCTGCTGTGGCGTTTATCATTGCACTGTTTACCCACCAAATACTTGATGGATGTTGGGTTAAAGGAAGTTGCTGAAAAGCTGAGACCCACAGTGTGATTATATAGTAGGGTAGTAATATATGTTATTACCAACATTCAGATTTAACGTTCCTGTTGATGCTCTATTTGCATGGGTTTTCCAGTGTGCAAGCTGCAATTTCAGCTTCTACTCAGCCTCTGAATTTCTCCTGGATAGTATTGTTTAGTAGTAATGACAAGCAGCAGTAGGTTTTCAAGTCTACCATCATGCATTTTTCCCGAAACTATTGCATATCAACAGTGCAGTGAACTTTCTGTCTCGCATATACTCCAAGACCACCTTAGCACATTATCAGGAAAATGGTTTCTCTTTTTATTTTTATTTAATTAGTGAACTGACAAGTGTGAATCAACTTTGCATTAAACACTGTGACTTTTTGGTCAGCTATACCTACAGGAGCTGAATCTTTTTTCACTCTTTGACTGTAAATCTTTCTGTAGAAAAGCTTCTGCCCAACATCTGAAATGGAAATGTAAATATTCAGAATACGGAGATGTTTCTTTTAAATACTAAACATCTTATTTAATTTGCAATTGCAGGGACAAGCTCAGATACTTATTATCAGAAAGCAGAATATGATAGCTGGGCTATGCATATAATATCCTGATTTCTAGCTTCTGCTGTCTAATTATTTATACTCCCTGTTGAATTTGATACACAGCTTTAAGCTAGGATAGGCAATTTATTTCAGAAGCATTTTTTTGTTATATTTGTTGAAATTCTGTTTACATCCTGACAGCAATCAATAAATCAATCAAAAACATCCGGTATGTGTGGCTGTCGCAGGACTGTAATAAGCATGGCCAATCCTATATATAGATATATATATATACACACACAAATTATAATAATAATATATATAATAATAGATTAGTACTTTAAGAATAAGGTGTGCTCTTGACTACTTCGTCACTGTAGTTAAAACAGCTGATTTATTTATTTTTTGAGTTGGGTTCTGCAGTGCGTGTTTTTGATGTCCGATTGCAGCTGATTAAGTATTATTTGAGATGATGTTGAGGTTTTCTTTTAGCGCAGTCGCCTGTGTTTTTGTGAGTGTGCAGGATGGTTTCATCAGGATGCTTTGATGTGCCTTTTTCCAGATGCTTTTAAGGTAGATATTTCATTAAAAAGATCAAAGTTAAAGCTATCTCTCTATCTCTTGCTTTACACCAAGACAAATTTTGCTTTTGTCTTTCCTGGTATTAAACGGATTCTCAAGTATTAGTCCTCCAATGTCTACTCTCTTTCAGCTTTTCTCAACATTAATATTTTTTTTTTGCACACCCTCCCGATGCTGTGTGAAACAAAAATGCTGCTGAAGACAGGGAAACATTTTCTACTCTTTATCGCATCTCTCCCTCCTTGCGTCACCTCCTCTCAGCTTTTTGTTTCTCCCACCTCACAGTCACAGTCTCCGCACCTCGACAATGTGATTTCTCCTCATTTCAACAGAAATGTGTTTTGTCTTTTCCGCAGGAACCCCGCAGCGAAGGTCTCTGTTCTACCACCACAACTTTGATTACTTAACTTTATTGTCTTTTCTTTTTTCCTGAGCTTTTCTCATTTGATTTTTCCTACAATTTTCATAAGGGCACAAATTGCTTGATTTCTTTTATCTGGTGTACTTTTTACAGTGGTGTACTTTTTACAGTATGTATTTGTAGATACTATGATTATATTGTGGTTTTGCGTTGAATTATTGTTCTTTTAACTGAATGAAACATGCCAGTGTTAGTTATTGATAGTGTTATTAAGAATAGTTTCCAAAAGAACTTGTAATTTCTTGTTTCAAGTATGCGTTGCCTTTTTTTAACCCATAGCTGCAGCGACAAATTATCCTGAGCACGAGTTCAATCGGCAAACATCATGACTATCAGCCAATTGAATTATGAGAAAGTTGATATTTGAACTGCTACAAGGGGAAATATTATGAAGTGACAAACCAGAAATGGTGACAAGAAACGTGATATTATCTTCCTACATAGCTTGCCAGCTACTTAGCTACATCCATAAAAAAATTAGCAACAGAAAATGGTTACTGTCATGAATGAGATCTACACAGTTGTGCAAGTGGTCATGACTTGACTTTGCCTATTTCCTTGACTGACGTGAAAAAGCTGTGCTTCGAGCAACTGTTAGTGCAGCTTTTGTGTTCATTTAAGGGGATGTTGGTGGAACTGATATGTCACTCATGGTTAGAGTAAAACAGAAGAAAATAAACCCACCTCCTGACAAGATTTCTGGTAACACATGTTGTCAGTGAATGAAGTGAAAATATATAAGATTTCCGCCTGAAAATCACGATAGGCATGCACATCAACTCTAACGAATTTTAGTTACACACATTTTATGACAAGATGTAATGTCGTCTTTTCATATATGTTTTTGTTTATTGTAATTTTGTACATAATTTTTTTATGAAAATGCTAGCTTAGTCTTCCACAGGTGACATTGGAATTACTTTTATGGGACACAGTGCCATACTAACCACACTGAAATAACAGCACACCTATTTCCTTTACTCCCTACATGGACTCCATCTTCATATCATATCTCTAATTTACCTCTGTTCTCCTGTTCACAGGTACTTCACCAACATATCCATTGGTGGACGGGACTATTCCTTCAACAGTGATGGCTACCTGTCCAAGCCGCTGCTTGATGTCATCTCCTACACCAATGGGAGAGGCTGGGAGGAGGTCAGTACACATCTGTGCAAGTTGGCACTAATTATCATAGTGCAGCGACTAGACCACCTAACCGCAATTTCACACCCCATCAAACATGCTAACTCCTCACTGCTCAGTTTCACCTTTCTGCTGTCTCACAGCCCCCCCTGTGGATTTAATTAGATCTCCCCTAAGCCCCCTCCCCTACTCCCTCTCTCTTCCTATGTCTTTGCTCTTTCATTTGAGTTTTCCGGCCTTGTTAACCAGCGCTAACTCACAGTCCAATATCCTCTCCATCAGGGGCCATGTGTGTGTGTAGCAGTTGTACAGTAATAGCACGAAATCCAAGGTCTACCCTCCGAGGGCACTTTCAATTCCTCAAGACTCCCTTCGACCTGAGAAAAACAAGTAAACCTTTTTGTTCTATCCCGCTGTGTTCAATTTGCTCCTGACCTTTTATGACTCAATATGTTTACTGCTGAGTGCAGACTCAAGGTCCCCCTTATTTAAAGGATGATAACCAATAAAGAAAAATCAACCTTTGACAGAAAAAAACAAACATTGCTCTAACAGTGCAGCACCAATGTGAGCTCTTGGATTTCAAAGTTTTTGCAGTTCTTCACCTTCCTGTTAAAGATCAACCTCTTGTAAAGGTGCGGTGCTGTACAATATTTCATCTCGGCTCTATAAGAGAAGAATGAATAAAGGATTCAGATAAAACTGCATTAAGTAGATTTTAAGGAACAACTAAGCACAATATATGTGAGAAGTTTCTGTAGCATATGCAACATAGCCAGAATTATGTGGATGCTACTGTCCACTCCCTTGCTTGCTCTGCTGCTGTGTTTCATGATTTCAGATAGTTATAGTTGTAAATCATACTGCTGCATCATTCAGTGATATTTCAGACAATAGTTAGGCTAAATTGTGGAATATACTTTCTTATTTCAACATGACAATGCCCCCGTGCACAAAGCCAGGTCTATAAAGAAATGCTTTTCCCTGTTTGGTGTGGAATAACTTGACTGGGCTGCACAGAGCCATGACCTCATGGGATGAACTCAAGCCAGGTCTCATCAACCACCTCTCTTGTGGCTGAATGGGCACAAACCCCTGCAGCCAGGTTCCTTCTTCTTAGAAGAGTGGAGGCTGTTATACACTGAACAAAATTATAAACGCAACACTTTTGTTTTTGCCCCCATTCATCATGAGCTGAACTCAAAGATCTAAGAATTTATCTTTGTACACAAGACCTATTTCTCTCAAATATTGTTCACAAATCTGTCAAAATCTGTGTTAGTGAGCGCTTCTCCTTTGCCGAGATAATCCATCCACCTCACAGGTGTGGCATATCAAGATGCTGATCAGACAGCATGGGTATTGCACAGGTGCCCCTTAGGCTGGCACAGTTCCATCAGGGGTGCAGTTCCATCACCGTACAAAGCCACAGATGTCGCAAGTTTTGAGGGAGCTTGCAATTGGCATGCAGACTGCAGGAATGTCCACCAGAGCTGCTGCCTGTGAATTGAATGTTCATTTCTCTACCATGAGCCGTCTCCAAAAGCGTTTCAGAGAATTTGAAAGTACATCCAACCGGCTTCACAACCGTAGACCACGTGTAACCACACCAGCCCAGGACCTCCACAACCAGCATCTTCACCTCCAAGATTGTCGAAGTTGGCTTCATATCCTCAGCCTCCATATTCACTTTCAACTCTGACACGATAACATACTCAACATAATTACACCAAGAATTTCCTATTGTGCTTATTACATCAAAATTTGCAGTGTCTTAAACTGTATTTTGTGAACATACAATAAGCAATAAAGTAGTAAGAAACTTGAGACATTAGAGGGGGCACTGTCATAGTCACAGCATCTTTTGCTCGACACTTTTGATGTCAAATCGGTCAGTGCATTTCTTTTGCCAGCAGTTTCAATCCTCCTCAGTGTCACATGGTGACTCTTTGATCTGAATTGGCCTCTAAATCCCCCCTTTTCAGTTGTCAACATTCATGATAAAACGCATTAACTTGTCAATGCCGCATAATGTTTTTCCCTCAGGACTTTCTATAAAATTCTGACTTACTGTTGGCAATTTGCATGTGAAAAATCTTTGACTGAATGGTGGTGTTTGCAGAATTTTATACATCATCCATGCTATGATCTGAAATTGACCCTAATAATTTTTTTTTGCTGGAGATAACAAGCCTCAGAGCAAGATTCAGATCAGGGGAAATATTAAAGTTACTGATACCTAGTTTAAAACCCGATAAATATGCAGGACTCAAAAAATAAAACATAAAACCACTCACTTTCATCGTTTGATTGCAAAAGGAACAAGGGACGTTTATTTTTAGAGACTGTCTGTTTATTTAAGTCTTCACTCTGTCTTTCTTTTTTTTAGTCCAGCAAATCCAGCCTGTATTTCATCTGGCAGTAGTTAACTTTAGTTACAGTAGTGCCTGGTGCAAGAGGCAGCAATCTGAAGTACTGCTCCATCTGTGGGGATTATAGTACAGTTTTCTGCCCTTTTCTGATACATCTCACCGTTACTGTATTGAATATTTACTGAATGAATGCTGAGAGACTGACATAGAAGACAAGTCACTATCTTGTGCTCCATGGGTTTGGAAAAGATTGAAAAAAAAATGGCTACAGCAGGCAGAAAACCTGAAAGATAAGGGTTTATTTTGCACTGCTGCTCTCTAAAGATTACTGTGCTGCTCTTTTTTATCTGAAGTTTAGGTGAGTCAAGGAGGAAATCATCAGGATAGCTATGTCATATTTCAATTTTACAACGTTCATGATCCCTTCCTGGAAATTACTGGAACCAATGAACTGATAACAAAACTGTAATTATCAATAACTATGTAATGTAATGTTAAAAGGTGTATCTTAAAGTGACAAACCTTCAGATAATTATCTCCTGACTCTGCAGTTTCCCCCAGCTCTACATAGCATTTTAGCATCTTTCAGCAATTTTTTTGGTTTTCTGGGCCCACAACTTCACAGTTTTGGTTCGCACCGGTCTTATCACTATTTTTTTTTTCCAGACACAGCAGGAAGCAGTTTTCAGTAAAGCTTTTAAAACCCAGTCTATGCTACTTGTGCAACATCAAACAGGACACAGTTAGAAACTAACTAGTGAAGTGGTGTTCTACGCAAGTTTGCTGTATGAAATTAACAGATCAATGTTCTGTTTACATTTACAGCATTTTTGGCTCCTATCAACAGTCAATCAACACTTATTGTATGTGAGTTTCATAAAAAACAAGAGACACCTACCAGAGGTTCAAGGAAACCAAGTCATCCTATTCAAATTGAAAGTCCCTTGGTCAAACAATAAAATTGTTTACTATGGTTTACAGCAGTTTAAAAATGACAGCGTGTATTTTTTCAGCTTTAGAATCGTTGTAGATACAAACTATGACAGACATCAGTTTGAACATAATGTAATAACTTTGAGTCGATTTAATTTAATGGACAAAGACCTTTATACAGTGTCTCTTGAAGTGAATGTTGCATGGTGATGCAGGGAAGGATAAGGGATAATGCCCAAGCAAAGGACAAACAGTGACGATACATCTCGCTCAGAGACAAGCACTTGACCCTAACTGACCTGACCCAGTACTTCTCTCCAACTTAATTTGTCTGAACATTCCCATTTCCCAGGTGTATATTTGCTCCGGAATCATGGAGTCTATTTGCTGAGCACAGCAACCTTTGGGCAGCTGAGCAAGCGCTGCTGTAGAGCTTGCAGGGATACCTGTGACTGTATTTGAGTCAGAAAATTCACAGAGAGATGAACATTTGGTCTATAGCTTTTAGGCAAATAATGTATTTTGTGAACTTTTGTAATGTTGAACTCTAGCTGCCCTAACTTGTTGGAGTACCCAGCAGAAGAAACATTATATTTCGACAGGCCATAATAAGTTTAAGTTTTGATTCAAAGTAAACGTAAGTGTCCTTAAATATACTGACTGCATAATATTTTTTGTGTTACCATTAAATCAACACAGAAGCTGCACTAGCGGTTGCTCAAAGCACAGCTTTTTCACATCAATCAAAGAAATAGGCTTATAGACCACATTTTATTGGCAACACGGAAATACAAAAGAGGCTTATTGTCAAAAAGGTTTTCATACAAACTTACAAGTCATTAAACCTGGTGAATAATGTCTCTACCACTAACCCTGATTTCTTGGATCTTGGAGTCATTTAATGTCATGAATATCTTGCCAAATAGCCTAAAAGTATCATGTGCTTAGTGCTTATGGATGCATGCTCAGCGATGTTGGAGCTAAATGATGTATGTATGAATGATACATACAAAAGCACAAACCACGAAGGCAGGCCAACAGCACCACCTGAGCATTGGCTAAATCACTAGTCAAGCTATATTCACATTTAATCATTCTGAAAACTCAAAAATAGAACTGGATTATAGATGATTTTATGCCATTTTTTTCCGTTTCAAATTATGTTGTTAAGTTGTTATTATGACTGCTTCAGTGCAGGTATTGGAAATGAAGTGGTTCTTATGTTGTTTGATTTTTTTGTTGTTTTGCCAACTGCCTTCTTTCATACTAGCTTTTGAACATCTCATGTGTGACATCTGAGAGTTTTTCTTAGGTGTTATGTGACGCAATGATACAGCAAGTCATCTTATATTTGTTTGTTCTTTAAGCCAAAGCGTAAACATGGAGACATACAGTGGATCAATGAGCAAATAAGACAAGAAACCTGCAGTACCTTTTTAATCAACATGATAAAAGAGCTCAAATCCTAAACCACACAAAGATGTTGTTAATCAATTACAATAATTTAGCTAGTACTTCACACGGGAGCAGGCTTTAAAACTGACTTTCTGGTCTGCAATCACAAGTTACTAAAGTTTTTGAAGGAGGACTATTCTACCAGTAAATAACATGCAACACAAAAAAATCTGTAAAAAGGCTTTCTTAAGTTAAAAATCGTGACCGAGCAGTATTTGTTTCTCTAGCATTTTGTGTATCAATGTTATAGCT